TAATACAAATGAGGCTTTACATTTTTTTCGAATTATCAGTCAGAACGCGAAAAGTGATCGCGGCTTGGAAGTAGGAATGGAATCTGTTGAATGAACAAGATGAACAACAAAAAGCATCTTTTTGCAAGAACAACGAAAAGAACTTTTTGTACTTCACTGTGAAGGGATTTATATTAGATGATGCTGATACGTAAGCAATTTAACGATACACTCAATCAATTATTTCAAACAAAAAACATCTGCTTCTGTTGCTACCGAAACACCAAAGAAACATTATTGAACTGCATCGAATTGAACTGAACGAGTAAATGAACGAGAAAATGAATGGTAGCCGAACGAAGAATCCTATTCAATCGCCCAATAAATAAAGCCATCTAATCAATCTTCAAATTCTACGCTACCATATGTATGTACCTCGCCATGTTTATGTTATTTTTTCTGCTGCTACTGCATCGTCCGCCTTCTTAAGAGAACATCAGCCATATTTTACTTCTAAGAATCACACTCGTTACTTGTACATAATATTTTGAAAATGTGTTTTCCCATTGATTCTATCGCTCGCTGAAATTCCAATTATTTTTTCCTCGTCAACGTCAATAACACAAACAATACGAATAATAATGATGATCAATGTCTCATTCAACGATCAACATTTGCATCAATCCGAAACACTCCCAGAAAGTGACGATCAATCACGAAGTATTTAATGTGTATGCATACAATATAATATAACAAGATACAGATGTCATTATAGCATTCGCTAAAGTACATTAAAGTCATCGTTAATAGCGATCAAATCGTTTAACTTACACCATAAAATAGAGCCATAATTGCACAAAAATGAGGCCGAAGTTGCGAAACATCTCCGCAAGTAACGCCTCTGTAAGCATGTTGAAATTGAGAATGGTATGAGGGACGGATTTGAGGGAATGAATTTTCAACAAATCGTTGATTTCACAAAGCCTAAATTAGGAATAATGATGATCGCAAGATTAGTTTGACTTATCACTATTGATACTGACAACGTTAGAATGATAAAGATGGCAGTAATAATAATAACAATTATAATAATAATAATAGTAACAATAATAATAATAACAATGGGTTATGTTTTGAATGGCATAATAAAGAGAGTGATAAAGAATAAGCAACGCAAATTCCATAATGAATAAGTGAATGGCTAACATTGTTATGAATGAATGAAGAGAGCATTCATAAAACGTTTAAATGATATGTTCAAGGGGATAGATCGATCACTGAAGGATTACTGAAGGATTATTTGTGTGTCTTCGAAATGTGATCGATGGGTCGAGTTGAAAGGTGAGAAGTTTGTGCTGTAAAATTGGCTGAATGGATGGCTGTCCTTTATTCGAGATTGATGCAGCTTACTGCTAAATTTATTATTATCATTATTAGTATTCTTATTAATGTTATTATATCATCACCATCATTTTATTAATATCATTATTGTTATTATAATGACTGGTATTCTTTTGCCATTATCGTTATCTTTGACGTTCATTGATATAAGTTATTATACAGTGGTGATATATTAATGTAAACTATAATATTCAAATAAATCCTCGCTAAGATAAACAGCAATTCATAAGTTCAAATCACTAAGATTAACGAAAGCCAGTGTGCGTGTCAACCAAACAGACATCTCATTAGTACTCCTAACATTATTATGAATAAGTTCACTCTCATTATAGTGACTATTGTTATTGTTGATATGATACTGATTCACTTCCGTTAATTTATTTTAATCTCACTTAATCTCAATACGTGCTGAATATCTCTTTAGAGAAATATGCAACTGAAAGCAATTTATGCATACGTTTACATACTGAATCATAATTTAACGGTGGAATGATTGATGCGAGACAATTATTGTTGTAATAATGGAGTGGTGAAACATTTTAAGTGGAGTATATCCGAGGGATCAGTTTAAAAATTTAGTGGTTTTAATGCCATTACTATTATTAGTGTTATTAATAATAATAATAGTAATGGTATTGTTGTACTTATCACTCGAATTATTGCTATTTATTATTATTATTACTATTAATAATATTATTATTACTATTATTAATATTACTATTATGATTAGTGCTTAAGTGATGATAATAACAAGGCTTCACGCAGCATACGCTACTGAAGATCCTGTTAAGTTCATTGAACTTCTGAATATGCGTTAGTAAAAATTTGTGTTATTGAAGGGTGGCAGATCAACGAGACTGCAGAACAACTTAACAACGTTGTAAATGAAGAATTTATTGGAGCAATCAGTATGAATTATTAGTGAAAGTGTCAGTAAATAATAATAGTGAATAATAATGTACATATTTATTTTTAAGAGATTCAGTGAAGAGTGCCTACTCAAGAGATCCGTGCGAGAACTTATAAAAAGAAAGTAATAAAACGATACTTCAAGAAGTTGAACATCATTAAACTGTTATTTTTTGGGATTTATTTCGTTTTGAACTGAACAATTTTAGTTGCTTCATTGTGATACATACATACCTCAGTGTTTGCGTTATTACTACACAAATAATAATGTTCATTTTAAAAAATGTTTATAATTCACGCATAAAATGAACAGTGACTGTATTTGGTAATTATATTCATTGCACCGATAACTATTTATGTGCCAAGACAGAGTATTGTTCTTCAATAGAATCTGGGATAACGTCGTTCAACTTGCGATTACCGTAATATTCACCGAGTAATACTGTTGTAATCAGCTGATTGTACATTGAATTGATCGGTAGTGATATGTGTCCCATTATTGGATCACCGGGGCATGAAATTAATTAAATTTATTCATATTATTATCACCAACTGACAACTTATGTTATATATCATTATTTTATTTCCGAAGTCATTCCACTCTCCCATTCACACTCATTCGAGATTTCATTGATAACTCAAAACTGAATATCCGTAGAATCAAGTTTGCAAAAGAAATGCTCTAAAATTTTCGTTACCATCAGTTGAGGACGCAATCTGCAATTGCAAATTGAAGATTGACAATGAAACAGTGATAACGGTCAAGTATAAATACGTTAAATCAAGCATATCGTTTTCTATTGCGTATATTAAACATACGAATGTTGCTGTACTGAACGGGATTGCGATGAATAATCGACGATTTTTGCGCAGTTTTGGACCGAACAACTGAAATATTCGAAGGAACAATTTGGAATTTTAAAAACAATCCATCAAAACAGCCAAATAAATTAGGCAATCAAGAATTTGTTTCCATCGCAAATAATTGCATTTGAACGGTTAATTGATCAAAAATGGTGTTTCATGCACAATTCGTTGTGATCGTAGAAGATCACGAAGGATGATTGCTATCAGTCACAGCAAATTACACTTCGAGATCAACACAATCGATCTGATTACACGACTGATATGAAAGTACCTAGTGACTAAACGATATCGATAAGGATAACGTGATAAAGATAACAATGATGATAAAACTGATGGTGATAATACGAATGGTAGCGATAGTTGTAAACCTCAACAATAACTGCGATAATAGTCGGTGAAAAAAATGGTGGCGGTGGTAGATCAGGTTGTTTCCAATTTAATAAAATGTAATGAGTTAAACAACCGATAACAAAAGATAATGCAAATGCAAGCATTCTTCTATCACCATTATTCAATACCCTCTGAAGCAAAGCAATTTTTAAGAACAATAAGCATAGTTACAAATCGAAATAATTTTGATTGTAAAGTCGAAATGTAAAAAGCCGATACAGTACATTTCCATTTGTATATGCATATATAAATTCAAGTATGGTCCATATCTCAACTTAGAACACACCTATGATATGAACTTTTCAGATTGCTGAATGAATATTACTGAAAACGTGATTCAAGAAGGCAAAAAGTTTTCTGGGTTACGCTCATGTTAGCACTGAATTTTTTGATATGAGGGCGATAAGAAACAAGGAAAGCGATATTCAGTGATATATTCAGTGATAAACTAGTGAACAGGACGGTCATGCCATGATCATGATGAACTATACTCGTAGATGAATTTAAAATGATCAACAAGTGAATCTTTACAAAATTTGTTGAATTTTTTAAGAATCGAATACAATTTTGAAAAAAAACTTCAAATTGAATAAAACCTGTGGAGTTTTTAAATGAATAAGTTTCGCGTAACGTGGTAGCAGAATGTAGAGAAATACAAAGAGAAGAAAAGAATTCGGAAATGCGGCCGATAAGAGCCAATAACCAAATTCGCTACTTGCAAATATTTCACCCCAACATTTTGCTTTGATTATAACACACGACCAGAAATAACCACTGAAAAATCGCGAAAAATTTGATCGAATTCCCCGTTAAATGGTTGTAAAATTGATGAGACGAAAAGTGGAATCGATCAAAAACGAGTCTCACATCGCAAGCGACGAATAGTTGAAATGCTCATCAACCGGAACATCCATAACGGAAGCAGTTTTGAAATCTTTTATGGCATTTTCAATTATTTTTCGTGGCATATTAACGATAACAGTTTTATAGCGCAAGAACTGCCTTATGATGAAAACAAGCATTGCATTGAGCACATTCTTAATATCACTTCTGGTTTCGATGTAATACCGTCTGAAATTTCAAAAAAGTGCATCTTAATGGTGAACGAGTATTGTTGAAAAACGGTGTTGTTCTCTTACTCAGTGCTGATATCGCAAGGAGAAAAGTTTTGTAAAATCTGCTCAGGCTCAATGCTCACGAGCTTGCTCGCTTTTGTGCTCACCATAACAGTAAGGGTAATTGCTCATAGATCACATTCATAGGTCAATTTGCCCACATGTTCATGAGTTCACTAATCTTTGCTTACTCTTAACCATACTATTACTTACTGAATGTGATCATGAAACCGAAATATTTGAACAACACTTTTCTTGTTGAAACCATCAGCACACTTCAGTGATTATAAAGAAGCAAATTAACTGATCAACTTAAATAAATTAACTGATAAACTCAAATTAACTGATAAATACACAACCAAAACGCTCCACTAACTGTGCAGTTCCAACAATCGCTTCGAGTTGTTCAGCACTAGATTCATCGCGAAGACTACGTATGAGTGATTGCTGTAGTTTCTGTTGAGCGTCATCGATCAGCAACGGTCTTATCATATCACGATCAGTTGGTGATAACTGCCCTTCATTGTATAGCTCTCGAACTGGTGGTAGTTCTATCGAAGTCTCGACAAAAAGAATCATGATTCGAATAATTGCTGCATTATGACACTCGAAGATGAGTGATAGAAAATTGTGGCTTTCTGATATGATCAAAGCGTAGTGATAGTAAAAAACAGTGCATATTGTTCTATCGTTGATCAAGAGGATTAAATCGATACAGATGGGCGCGACACTGTGGAATTTCATACAAATTTCATACACGTGCAGAAAATAACCCTAGGACTGAAACTTTATCGTAAGCGACTTATACACTTTTCCTGTAGTTGTTAAAATTGTTTTATTGGACGGGATCAAAAAACTGCAAAGTCTTTGGAGAGGTGATCCGAATGCAGTCAATGATAATGTCAACGATGATAAACAATATCTTGATTAATATTGCGTATTAATCATTATTATTGAATACCTCATCAATTTTAGGGCTGAGATTAGATTTATTATTGGTGTTGTCATATTTGTCATCAAAATCACTGGATGACTCTTCATCGATACCAGCATTACAACTACATAAATGCATTAAATCAGTAGCAATAGATATTAGTTATGACTATCAGTTTCAACAAAACCACACTATGTCTTACAAATTGTAATAAATGAATTCTTCGCCTCACAGTTAAAAAATATAATCACTTTCTCGTTTTATTTGCATATAAGCAAGCAAATTTCTTTGAAATGAAGGATCTGATATAAGGACAGTTTTGAAGAATGATGCTAATGATGATAAATAAATAAACTTGGATCTACCATGGAAGTGCTTCGATGCTTTGCACTAGGCCTTCAACTGAATAATCAGATTCACGCTCACAATCAGTGGCATACTTGAACGAATCCGAATTCAGGAATAACATCTTCACCAGTATATTCTTGAAGTATTCCATATTCTAGTCCGTTTTGCTTCAGTCTATTCAGAGCAATATCCCATCGAAAATAAACCCTCCCTAGAATCACTCCTCACCGATTATAACCAAGCAAACACTCAGCATGACGTCCCTCAACGCCTTTTTGCAACCTCACCTCAATTTTATGCTCTTTTCATGCTCGTAAAATCGGTCAATATCGAAGAATTTCGTTCATATCAATCCCAAATATGAAGAATACTTGTCAAATAATGCATTTCAACAGCAATAAATTCCTACTGATGTATATTTTGTTGATTTCAATAAACGACATCAGCTCTCTGAATTGCTATTATTGTGTACACTCGAGAAAGCTGAAAGATGAACGTGATGAACTCAACCAAAATCCGTCTTGTTTGAACAAACACAAATTCTCGAATAGATCCGATATGCGACGACTATGTGCGATTCATGAGAATTTTTGTATGGTATGTATTTATTAGTATTTGTAATATTCAATTATACATTATTATCAATTGTGGTGTTCATAATTTTCGTTGACGGTGTTCATTAATCAGCAAAGATATTGATTCGATTGATGTCTGAATTTAAGCCCTTCTTCCTGGAAATTATCAGGCGGTATATGAGAATGGTGCAAACCTCTATGATTGCCAAAACATTAATCGAAATTAAAACATCATGCAGATGGATAACTCATTCAGCTAGTATTGTTAACATTGTGCAAAGAAGGATCTCAAGGAAGGAAGAAATATCTCAAGAAGTATTGATGCTACTGATCATAAAAGAGAGGCATAAACTCGTAATGAATTGTAATTGCTGATTAGATAAAATATCTGAAATTTCAATCTACACTATCATAAATATGTTGTTGCAATTCCGCTTGAAATGTGGCTATTTTGTCAAGGTGTTTCATCGAGTTCAACTGTTCTAATCTTGAATAACTTTGATGAATCCTTCCAAATCCATTTAAAATTTCAGTCACAAGTGACAAATTTGAACGGATTTTTCGTCGAGATAAGTCGTGATTGTCGAGCCGATTGTGTTCAGCAATGCGCAGGTCACGGCTATGGTCTCACCTACACGGAATGCACTACGTATCTAATCTTATCATTTTATCTGCTTTCATGTAGCCTCTAAAATTCGTTTCCTTGTTAATTTTCGCATTAAATATCTTCGAAAATCGCAATGTCGCCTATTATGTTAATCTACAGATGTCATCGAAAACTTTCTCACCTATTCCAAATACATCATACATTACTTTCCTTTCACTTTTCCAAAATTCAACGCAAATAACCATTTGTTACCAGTCCGCAATCTTTACTTTTGCTTAATGTATCATCAGACATTCACATACCAATAATTCGATTCCATGCAACTGGTTTCAGATGCTGTCAAAACGATTTCTGTAATGACTTCGACGGTGCCCAATACTATATGTCTAATCTCTCGACTCCAACAAGGCATAAGGCATTCTGGAGCCACTTCGACACACAATTCGTCGTCTCTATGATATACCTCCTAGCCCATGCAATTACCCTGTCGTCCGGTATAATTTGCTAATGCTGGAACTCTCAGAATAACAATTTGATGACCCTCCAATAAACCTGAACATTCATTCGATTATATCCTTCTGACTTCCGTCATTGTGATGAAAACTGTGCACGACGAATTTAACAATAAACTGTTGATATGTACTATGAAATGTAACGAAGGCAACGCAATTATAGACAACATTTATTTCAAATTGTATCAAACTCCAACAACAATAACAATAGTTGTCACAACAACAATTATCATCACTCTGAACAAATCGTTTACGATTCGTTATCACTGACATCTTCGTCATCTTGGCTGATCTGGAAGTACCTCAACTCATAGGTATCCTTTGTTGACGCAACCACTCGTAACCAATCTCGAAGCGAGTTCCTCTTGAGGTACTTCTTGGTGAGGTATTTGAGGTATCGTTTTGAGAAAGGTACCTGAAAATTAATCATCCATTAGATGTGACATTAGGTAAAGCGAAATTGACACAAACAAGCTAATATCTTATGTCGTTCGCTATGAGTGTTTACTGCATGGTTTTTCCCCACAATAATCGCGCCATTGGCACTATGTGACGATAAGGAATATGCAGCACTACCCGGGCATCCCGAGGGCGCCACACGAGTCGACATTCTATGGCGTGGTGGACCAGGGTCACATCCTACAAACTCAGATGCCTGATGCTCCACAAGCGAGAACCGATTCGAAAATCCCGAAGGAAACTCAATTCAGTTAACGCCTCACGCCAACGGTTAATCTGCCTATATGCAGTCGTCAATTCACTCACAAATCATGATATTCCTAGGAAAACACCTCACCTCCGAGGTCAGCACAAGTTTCGTCTTCTGCAGCTCGATTCTAACTCCATTTGCTGCCATCTGACCCAACTTTCCATTAACTTTGATGCGTTCGTTAAGGAACACCTCCTTCAATTAAAAGCATCGGGACTTAGATTAGGGACTTGACTTCGCAACCGAAGCGTTCGAATGAATGCCAGAAGCATCCTTCCAAAGCACTCCGGATAGCAAAGATACCCTATGCCCAATGGATGAAGCACAGAGAAGTGAACTCTGAGCATTACCACCATTAGTTCACTGAATACTGAGAAGACACAATTGATACAAAAAAATAAACATTTTCATTCCTAAAATTTCAAATCGCTAATTTTACGCAAATCTCATTAGATCTTCCAAAAGCGAACATGAAGTATAAATACACAACATGGCTGCAAGTCGCAGGGAATGGCATGAAACTTACGAAGTCCGAGACATTCATGATGCCATCTTCCACCGGATTTTTGCACTCAATATTAAACTTAAGCGACTGCTTCTTCTTCTTACCACCGGCTTTTTTCACGCCTTTCGGCAAATGTTTCTTCTTATGCACTGGGGCCATATCACTGGACCACTAAAACACCCTATAAACTGACCTCTTGAATAACCAATAACTACAATCCTATTTCAGGTAAACGTTACACGCACTCAACATCTTCATTAGAAACTCAAGTGGCAAATCTCAAGT